AGAACCTATTGCAATAAAACGGCAATTTCATACTTTAACCCCTAATACTACCTAATTTTTATTTAACTCATATATGAACAAAAACCTACAAGCGAGTTTAAGTGCGACTATCGAATTTGAATATATAAATAGCCTGATATTATTTGTGCGTATGTTTACATGAAAAGTACACGATAACAATAAAGAACCTGAACTTGAAAGTTATATATACACGATTTTGGAGAACTGACGATGACTTTTTAGTCAGTGTTAGTTTCCTGAAATAATTTTAGTTAAGAACTTTTGAGTCTGGGCAAGACAATTTTTTTAAATGAGTGTATGATGAAATGAACAAGAATAATAATTTTTCTCATGAAACTAATGAAGGCAAATACTAAATATATTATTTCGTAAAAATAGCTAACGTAAATTCCCTACAATGTTGTTGCGGCGGTGTACATTTGTAAAAATTTTGCAACGGTCGCGATATTGCCTATTCTGAAAAAATTACGTAATATAATTATTTTGAAACAGAATAGCAAAATGGGGAGAAAAATCCCGTTACTTTGCAACATTTTCGTATCTTGTTGCAACAAAATTAATTTTCTGTTTTACTGAATATTTACATAAAAATACAAGTTGAAACGCGTTACTTCCTTGTGGAATGTGATGTTAGTGTCTATTTTATATTTGTCCGATCTATTTTTAAACCCATTTACCCATTGACTTATTTACCGCATATTTCGTCATTTTTAGCAAAAATTTTTGAGCTATTCGCGGTGCCACTTGACCTTGAGCACTGACAGCCCGCTCGCTCGTGTAGGCCCATAGGGCGCCCTACAATTTGCCTCACTTAGCGTGTGCGGGCTAGGTTTCTATGCGTTATTATTCTAAGTATATATATCAATATATATTATTATTACTTTACATCAACTCTTCACGTATGTCACTTGATCTATATTCATATACGTTATATTTGCTCGCATGTTGCTGTGTACTACCAACATAATAAGCATTTTTACCGGCTCCGGCAGCATGTTACTTTCGCGAAAACGTGTTTTCGAATTTCTAACAATCTCTTAACACTTAATTGTCTATTTGTACCGTAAAATCTGTATATCAAATATGTACTTTATCTATTTTGCCCAATTTTGTTACGAAGTACAAACTCTTTAGTCTCATGTATTGTACGAATAAGGATTTAAGTCACTTATTGCAAATATTTTGAATAGTTCTGTTGTTCTGACATGAATGACAATTATCGTATGAGGACAAAACATAGAACAAAATTGATGAAATCCTACATACGTTCCTACATACCGTAACCATTTTATTGTTTTGGGACCCTGGGGTATTTAAGGTTAAACAATACAAACATCTTTAGGCTAGTTAGTCTTGTGTTCTAAATATTACAGAGATGCGTGTTAACTTTAGTCCTGTAGGTGAGATGTTTGTAATACCATATTTTGGAATATAAATGTTTTTACAAACATTGCTGTAGAATGCTAAAAAATCGTCGTTTGTTTAAAAAATACTATAATGCATTTAATAAAGTGTTTCTCACCTACAGAATTATTGGTAAAATTTACTTTCATCGACATTGGCAACTAAGAAAAAGAAAGTTAGTCTAAACAAAAAGGAGTCTAAATGTGACTGCTGTCACTAAACTGGTTGATATTCTGTTAATTTACATGTTTTCATAATTCCTTACTTGGTAAGTATATTGAACTGATATAATAATTTGTTAACACTACAGTAAGATACAGAGCATAGAGACAGAATAAAATTAATGTATTTTTTACTTGATCTACTATTCTATATTGAAATTTTAGAAATATTTACAGAAATAAAATTTATTGGGATGAATACGCTTGAGTGGTATATATAGTCACTATGAAATCCTGATAATGATTGTAATTTAAAAATAAATAAATTCTGGGCTGTTGTACGTATTGATTTTATATTGAATTTCAATGAATGTGCTGCCATCTAGCTGTCAATAGCTGAACGACGACGAATTCGAGATGTTTACTTAGCTCTCTAAAAAAGAAGTGACCATATTGCATCGGTACATGGTTTGTTTTCGTTTCTTGTAACAAAAAATGATTAGGATAAACAGAAAATTGAAAATTGATTACAATTAAATAATACATAAATGTAAGTTTTAGTAGCAGTAGAGCTCGTTGTCAATGAGTTTGTCCAGGGAAGTACTGCCACCTTACCTACCTCACCTGGATTTGACGGGTATGGGTGCTGGTGAAATTACAGGCATATGGGACTTTGTAATTTATGTATCAGCGTGACGGGCGCAGGGCGATCTTTGCGTTTTAAAACTCTGAGTGGCACTGCAACTGTTACGGACAGTCGTGTCGCTTATCACCAGGCCCACGACTTGTTCGTTCCATTAGTTGATATTTTAAAAAACTTAATAATGATATGAAGCACTACTATAAATTACAAGGCGACTGTCATTTTTGCATTCACAGATCACAGCTCATTTCTTCATATTATTTATGCTCATATGGGTTGTTGGATGTGTATGTCCCTGCTGTGCACTGATTTCTCATCATGATTTTTTTTATCACGCGGTTTGGGGACTTCATAATACTTCAAAAAACTGTTTGTTGTGTGAGATTTTTTCATTGTTAAAGCTTTAATCTAATTTTATTATTAATAAACTTAACTGGATGTCGTTCGACAATACTCAGTTTTCCTAGTCGCTTTGTGTGGAATTGAAAACAGTACCGCTTGAAAGAAGCAAAAAACTTAGCCATAACAACGTACTGTACACGTAACAAAATGAAAATGAAAATTAGTGGGTTGCCAGTAGCGATCCACTCTCTTGCCTTTTTTATTTTTCCCTGCATTACGAAGGTTGTAACTACACCGGAATGACAAATCTAGACGGCCGCCTCACACGCCTTGTTAGCACAGTAGTCTATAATAATGTCACTCTCGACAGTAGAAATATTCTTCAGTTTGGCGCACCTTTCCAGCGTTGCAATGTATGTACAATGGGGTAGTATTGTTTTCCAAAAAGGGTTTTCGTTTGTGTTGTAGTCCGTGAAACTGGTCGGTACTACACGAGCTGGACCACGGAACGAGTCCCCTAGGAGCGCTGGGGTCGTCGATCATACGCTTAGTACCCCTGAGTTGGTGGCTGAGCGCGGTCCCCCCACTCAGCACCCGAAGAAGCTCATGAGCAACGCAGTCGCCGAACGCAAACAGTCGCGTGACGGACACTCTGCCTCCGAATCCAATATCGTCAGTAAAAGGCGCAACAGACGACAGGATCTAGTTCATGCTATGTGCATAAAAAACCGAAAGTGTTCACTGCTTTCGGCATTCCTCGTCATTTTCCTACACTTTAGTGCGCAGCGTCAATAGTCAATCTGGTCCTTTCGTATGTTGCACCTGGTTTGTGTTATTTACATAATTAACACACATAACATACACAATATTATTTCCCCAGTTATGGGAAGAGAACGTGATAACGTAAATTTTCTGATCATCATCAGCATGTAGACATCCACTACTGAGTATCTCAATGCAATTGCTCCTACTGTGTGACTTTCACCTCGTAGTTGGTCTCATAAAATTTCTTCTTCCTCAAATTCTCTTGCTACCTAGTAAGATTGAATATAAACAAATTTTTGACGTGCATGTGTTATAATTTTAGTCGGCGCTACACAACGATGTGAATCTCGAAGGGCAGATACGCATTGAGTCAAAGGAGCACTGCGGACACGGCGACGATAGCACGGTATCCTGCACACGCCGATCGCCTGGTGCCTCCCGCCATTTGGTGTTTCACACGATGCACCAAGCACGAGACTTAGTGATGCAGCGGCAGCGCGCCTGGCAGGACAAGGCTTCAAAAGTCAACACGGGATTTACCTATAAGGTGCTCTTTACCATTTTATTCGAATTGTGAGAGTCAATAAATTGTACAAAATATTAACGCATGTTTGCTTTTCAGAAATCAAAATTATGTAAGTTTATTTCGTTTATTTTACAAATTTAATTAAAAGCCATGTTTAATCAAAATTAATGTTTTGCGGGTAGGTTCATCGGAGGTGGAAAGCCCAGTTGCTCGACAAATCCGGGACATACATAGCGATATGCGCTCGAGTGCGCGTATCATTAAAGATTCACGTCTCAGGCTGCTCGAGCTGCAGAAGGTAACAGAAAAACCGTTTTGTACTTCGACTTTGGGGACGAAGTATGATTATTTGTGATCATGTTTTTTTCAATGTCTCGGTTTTAAGTGCAGCATTGCTTTCGTTAAGTTCAGTTAGCCACCGTATGCCAACTCAGCCTAACAAGCTCGTGCAGTCTTTGATCGAGTGTCCAGACAGTGACTAAAACCCTGTTTTGATAATAGAAACCCGTGCTGTCTGACGGGGATGTGAAGGAGCTCAGCGACCGACACGAGTTGCTGCTGCGCGAGATGGAGCGTTTCGGTCGACTAACACAAAACGTGCAGCGCCTCGTTGCCACCGAGGTGCAAGTGCGCACCAAGTTGCGTAAATCACCAAGATTTTGCAACGACTTAATGCCGACTTTCGGTGGGTGACCTTGTTCAAAATACAAATGCTTCAATTAAAAGGCCTCTAATTGTTTTCAATGAAAAATTAAATAAAATTTGAATTACTTACATTTTTGTATCGTTTCGTTCGTGATATTGTTTTTGGTTTTTACTGGCAGGTCAACATTTTTTCTGTACCGAAAAACATCAGGTGGCTCCTGACAATAAACAGTCGTCGTGACGTGTTCTCGGTCCTGGGGCTTAAGACTTTGTAAAACTTTAAACACATAATGGTCCCACGCAGCACACCCATATCTAAATATATACTAAAAGATATCTAATAGAGTTTAATTCGATTGAATATTTTAAGAGTTCAAATTCCCTCAAGATATCTCGAAGAAGGTTTCTAGATAATTTGAAGTAAAAGTGGGCACAACTTTATTAGTAGATCACAAGAGTGCTTTGATAAACTATCTGTAGGTAGTGTTAAGAGTGATTCTTATCTTTTTTCTCATGTAACCCTTCTAGAATGCTACAAGACCATTTGTAGAATGTAGACAGTTTTTATTTAGTCTTGTAGACAGTTTTTAGATAATTTATAGTCTATGATAGTTTTCTTAGTAATGCTACTTTAAAACCAAAATACTAAAGCGTTACAAACATAAGACGCAATTCACTTAATACTAATAGATTTCAAGTTTAATGGCTTACAAAATATAAACTATCAAAATTGCAACATGGCGAAATTAGATATAATATTTCTGAGTTTTTCGCGCAATGTTTAATCGGTTAGAAAGCGCAAATTGGCGTGCGACTTTAAATACATTGTGAAAAGTGATGTAAAACCTGCCATAAATGTAATGCGCTCGCTAAATTTTAAATATTTATGTAATAAATATAAACTTAATAAAAATACAGTTGTTGATTTTCGATTCTAAATATTTATAGAAAGCTTAAATATACAAAATAACTCACAAAACAAACCATTTCCAAGAAGTTCTAGGCTTTTTCAAGCTAATTTCAACTTAGATTTACTCTTTACAAAGAAAAGAAATTTTTATCGGCTTACTTCATAGTCATTCTCTAAAAATAAAAATGGCGATAAGAATTTAAAGCTTTTTTCAAAACACAGTTGGGAGCTTTTTGTCTATAGCTTTATCTATAGCTTTATCTATAGAAAAACTAGAATACAAAAATATTATTTTTACTTGCTTTAGTTTATTTGACCTTGTTTAGTTTATTTGAACTTTCACTCTTATGAATTTTTTATGATTGTCTACAAAACGCGATGTTTCTAAGCGATTTTTTCTTTTGACAGTATTACAAAACCTTTATAAAGTTATTGAAAATATTGAGCGTATTATGCAATCAAAAACTTTTGAAAACACTAGGTCAAAAAAACAATTGAAAAAATCCAATTTGTCGCAAAAAAAAAACATTATTCTGTATAATTATATGGAATGTGTTATATATGACTAGAAAGGTGGATAAATTCCCTATCATATAAATATAAGGAATATTTTAATGACATACCTAACTTAAGTTGGAAGAAATAAAATTTTTATTACAAATTTGAGGTTATTTCTTTACGCCAACCACATGTCACACAATTTTATTTTTATGTTATCAAATTTCATGTTGTAATTAGCAGCATTATGTCATTATTTTAACAAAATACTAAATATAAGTTTTAGCAATAGATTTTAGCGTTTTTTCGACGGTTTAAACTGTTTTAACGGTTTATTGACTTTATTGAAACAGTAGGTACTTATAACTTATTATATCCCTTTCAAATCATGGCCATTCAATACAAATACTTTAGATTGTCGCTGTTTGGTCATTAAATTTCATTTACGCCACAGATACATAACAGAAGCCGCATGTGTTCTCAGAAACGTCACTGCAGCACGAGATGAAGATGAACCACCCGACAGTGGTGATGGGCCGCAGCCCGCCGCGTGCTAATACGTCCGGTGCCGCCAGCTCCTGCCACAGATCCGTATGTTGTGGCCTTCGCACTCAAGCTAAATTCTAAATTATTGATTATGCAAAATTATTTGTAAATAATCTTAAAAATAGTAAAATACACAGATATAACACAACGAGTTGTTGTTTGTTTTGAAGGAGATTGACCTCACGCGGAAGCTGAGCGAAAGTTACGACATGCAGGAGAAGCTGGTCGCGGACAACGCCGACTTAGAGGTCAAGAGGTCAGCCTCTACGTTGCTTTGCACACAGCTTTAGTAGTCAAGTTAGAATAGCTCTTTTGCAAATAATCGCCTAGTTGGGTAGTTGCATCTTCATGCCATACTAGTTTGCGTTTTTGCACACACGAAATTTGAATACCTCGTAACACCGGTTTTGGAAAAAAAAAATTTTTATTTAGTACACATCCATCAGATTCCTCTTTCGCCAGATCATTTCTTTATTCCGTACAGGTCAGAAATTTTTTGCTGGTAACGAAACAGTAATTATGGTGATTCCTTGTACGTCAGATTCCGCTTTCGTCAGAAATAGTTTTTTTATGAACACTCGTCAAATTTCTCTTTTGTCATAGGTTGTCAGTTCTTTTTATGTGAGAGCCAGAATGGCGGGTGTATCTTAGGAAATATATTTCTATAGTATATACTAAGGAAATATATTTCTGACCTATACGGAAAAAAGAAATGATCTGACAAAAGAGGAATCTGATGGGTGTGTGAAATCCATATGACAAAAGCGGAATTTGACGAAAGGAATTTGTCGTTATTGGTTGTCCACATTCGTCATTCCTGACGAACCTGAACTGAAATCATGAAAAAATCTATTTCTGACGAAACTGGAATATGACGGATGTGTACTAAATCTTTACTCGTTTAAGCTACAGAAATCTAAATAAATGCAACGCCAGAAGTGTAAACAACGCCTATTTCTTCGAAAACGGGAGTCGCCACATAGTTGTCCAGGTCGATGGTCGGTCTAGGTGATTTCGATTTTCATAAATTTTAGGGATGATTAAAACGTTTGCCTTTGCTTTAATATTAAGGTTTATTTTATTCTTCATTAAAATGTACTGAACAATTCTACTATAGCTTGTAGGAAACCAGTTACTTTCGCCTCTCGTCTTTAATATGTCGGATACTCAGCTGTCTTTAACATCTACACATTTGCGGAAACTACAAACAAAAATTATTTGCGTACATTTCCCTGTCATTGTATTAAAAATAGGTATGAAACGTAAATGACTACTTTGACACTTATTTAAATTTACCAGTTTTTTAAAACCACATGTTTTGGTCCACCACCAATATAAGTTTTGTGTAAGATTTCTATTTTATACGTGAGAAGTAACCCACGGGAAGAAATAATTGCTCGTGGTCCACCCAGGTGAACCAATCAGGTGGTCCACGGGCAAGAAGTGACTAGAACTATTACAAGTTGATAAATTACCGACATAAATGTTTTATGCATTATTATCACAATGATAGATAAGACAAATACACAATTTGTTGTACGTAGAAAACATTATGTCGATGATATATCAAAACAAAAAATATGTAGTTACTTCATCACTAGCTCACAACTGCAATATTAGCAAAAACAACGATATCGTAGATTCATATCGTACGTACGTCGATATTTGACAGTTAAAGCAGCAATGGTATCTTCACACTGACGACAACACGAATAAGCTGATTCTCATAGTCAATAAATTTTATTTTAATAAAAACAGCCTTTGTGCTTTGAAATAAATTCACTGGCGAAATGTATTTTCTTATTGGTATAATTACAGCTTGTGGAAGAGCTTTCGCAATATGTTGCAAAATACAATTTTTATACACTGTTTCACTTCTGAAGTTTCGAGCAATACTGAATGAAAGCTTGCGCATTGATCTCGTAAGCGACACCAGTGCGGCGACTGTTGTAGGTATGCGACTTCTATTGCCTATTTATTTAGATTTTTGAGCATCAAGCGCTACATCGGGCAATAAAGCTTAAAACATAATTTGTAGACCCTTTTTTTAGTTATAAAATAAAGGTATAAACATAGATTTTCATTAATTACTTCTAGTAATTTTGTTTTTAGAGCCTACACAAAAGTTCACATTAATGGAGGTTACGAACTTTACGAATTTAGCCGACGGTATTTTTACCCGGGTGTCGACTTCTTGAACAATGCGCATCGTCGCGGCCGGATTTGCTGTTGTTCACGTCATTACTAAACATCGAGTATGTAACCAGAAATAGAGACGAAATGTCGTTTAATTTGTATGAAAACTATTTTGTCAAATCATTATGGCGACAACAGCGCTCCGATTGGCCAGCCCGAATTCGAAACAATTGACGGGTGTCGTCAATTGTTTCAATTCACTTCGACCAGTTTAACTTGAGCTTTGCTATGGACGAAAATTGTACAGAGGTCGATTCCGTAACACATTATTAAAGAAAAGAAATCAAATTTTATTCGGATGTCCGTATCTACTTATTCAGAACTTTTAAGAAAAATGCTAACTGGTAGGAAATTAATTGATCGACTTCAACATCCATAACTTGAGAAATTGAATCACTTTTCACACAATCACAATTCAATCGAAAATCAATCACAAAACGGCGTGGGAAGGAAAGACCCAAAACGCGCGCGTGAAACGCGTCGCCCGCGAACCGACCGCTGAGCAGGGCTGGGCAAAATACATGCTACGTCTTAATTGAAATACAAATTACAAAATACTTCCTTATATGTATTTAAAATACGAAATACCAAATACTTTCTTGAGGTGTATTTGAAATACAAAATACAAAATACTTTCATGGGGTGTATTTAAAATACAAAATACAAATACAAATTACAAAATACTTTTTTAATATACCTGTCCTGTCGCGACATGCGGAAACCAACAATTTCCTTCCACAATACATATCTTGAAAAATAAGTTTTAAATTATTATTTTTACAGAAATACAATTAACAATGTTTACAGGTGTAAAGAAATAAAAAATATACGATATTTATGCTCAGGCAACACAGAGGCGGCCGCGGAAGCGTTCCGGGCGCGGGCATTTTTGTAATGTACGAGTTCATATGAGCCCTGCCACACTGCAACGCGCGGCCGGCGGCGGCGTTTCCGCGACTGCCTCTGTGTGGCCGGAGCATAAGTGTACAAAGCGTGGGTGTGTGTGGTGCTTGTGTGTTGAGTGAGCGCTCTTGGCGATCTCAATTGGATCTAATTCAGATAGCCAATAAGCACGCACTTATTTTAATTTTACCGCACGCGTCGCGATTATCATGCGTAGCTATGGTAAGAGGGCTGTAGTGAAAATATAGTAGATTGTACAACAAAACAAGTGCATAAAACGCGTCGTTTCACCCGAGATGAGTATGATGTGGATCTCAGGTGGATACCTGAGCCGCAGACGAGGGTGGATACTTAAGTCGAGGGTAAAATGGGTTTTATGAACGAGTTATACACTCTGCTTTTCACTTCGATTGCGAGGAAATTAAACAGCAATATTACAAATAACGATAATTTAATTAAAATTGAATGTAAAACTGCAACAATTAAACATATTTAATGTGATGGGTTTTTCCTTATTTTATGCAGCCTACACCCAGCATATAGATACGAGCTTTAAGAGCATGAGAAGTGAAATAGTTATTTTTAATACAGTTTTGTATGTAAATATAAGTTTTAATGACGAATGATTTACGTCACAAAGCACATAAATATTAATAAATATACAACCTCATTAGTCCTATGTTTAAGACTTGAAACAACAGCAAATTAAAAAAAATAAAAGTAAAAGGTACTAGTGCGACAAATCCAGCTTTCGGCACGATTTGTAGTACGACCAATACCACGTTTTGAGCAACTGTATCAAAAAGGTAGTTTTTAATTAAAAAAAAAAGAATTCCCTTTCAAGAAAACTAGTCTTTTGAAAGTGCTATCAGATAAATATCCTCTCGTCGGAGAATGTATAAACCCTGCTAAAGAGAATAATCTCTCTACTGGTCCGGAAGAACACAGACTCGTATTAAATTTTATGAAAACTTGTTTTATGTTTGGGTAATGTTCAAGAATAGTTAGCTCTTTACTTTTTTCATTTAGAAAGCTCACTAGCTCTAATTCCATTTTTGATGTTTGTGGCCGATCACTGTCACTATTTATAAAAATAATAAAATCATCATCTCCTTTACTTGTATTTCTGCTTCTTCTACTTCCCTCTTCATGCTTTTTAAAATTAGCCTCTAAAGAGTAAATGGCAAGATTTTGTATCCTTTGCTTTTCTTCGGACGTGGTAGATTCTGGCAGCCAACGCATTATAGGCAGGGTAATAGCAGGATGCCAATATGGCTTCATTAACTTCGGGAAATAGTTTAAAAAGTTATCAAATCAAACCTCTTTTCTAAGCTGTCTTTCAATTTAGATACAACTCCAGAAAAATGTCTTAAATTGTTGCCCTGTAACCTTTCTAATCTAGTTCTTACAGACATTAAGCTAGGCAGAAGTTTACCATAATAACAATTATTGCCCTGAATGTAATCTAAAGCTGTTGCAATCGGTTTAAGTACCTCTATAAATTCTTCAAGGTATTCCAGTTCTATAGCCGAGAAAGCGTTGGTCTTCCCCAACTTATCAAATAAATCATTTAATTTTGATTTTGTTTTCATAAGTTGGACAATTGAATCATACAGCGAATTCCACCTTGTAGGACAAGGATATATCAATTGATTCCCAAGACATTCTTGTATTATTTCTGCAGACTTGGGCCTTCTGGACATATTCCAGAGCAAAGTACATTTTGCTATTGCTGAGTAATGAACCCTGCTAATGGGAGATTCTTTTATGTAATTATTCATGTCTGTAGTGGCCAAAAGACTTAATGTGTGGCTAGCACATATAATTCCCTGGGTAAATATAATTCCCTCGTTGTTATTTCCTCAATTGAGTTGTGAGGTAACAGAACCTCATCATTTAGAATGTCAGAGGCTATACTCGAAGAAGTTCTAACAACTTCCGCAGTATCTGAAAAAAAAAGCATATCAAGTACATAGGTATGTACAATTGGTACAAATTAATAATATTAGTTCACATTACAGTAAACAATGAATTTTGGGTAGAATTCAGTGGTAAAATTTTTGCCAAATTGAAGAGTAATCACTCTGACTTTTATAAATTAGCTGTTTTCTTTCTTACCTGCAAGGTCAGCATCACCATCAGAAAAATCAGGTATAT